TGAATTCATTACATATGGCAACTATTTACTTATTTTAAAGTTAAGTGTAGCTAACCTTCTATACTTAGATCAAATTTGTATGTCACCACTGCTTTATCTATAATTTGAAAAAGGGTCACATCCTTCATAATGTTTTACCTCCATATTTTTCATTCAAGATCTTAGACCTGCAGCAGAAATTAGAGCATGCTCATCAAGTCTGCCACTCAGACGCTTGTATGGTACACAAGAGGCAACTAGAGGAGAAGATCATAGAAGCCAAGGGCAGTGAAGCCAGGCTGCAGCAGCAGTGTGAGGAAGAGCTGCAGAAGAGGTAAGGGCAGAGGGGCCTCCATGTCCTTGGTTTCCAAGGCTTGAGGTCCTCAGCAGTCACTTCCCAATGGAGTATTTCCTCCCAGGCCGCACTGAAGTCAACTCAGTATTGAAGCATCCTCTGTACAGCACTGTACACCACACCGTATTCTGTCTACTTTCTTCTTTGCCTCTGGCGCTGGAGTGTGGGACTCCAAAAAGTAGAAGGTACTTCTTGTTGTTCTAGAACACACCTGGCACATTGATAACGTGTCTTAAATAATTGAGTTGCCTGTAACACCTGACACTTTGCTTGTCTAACTCTCCAATGCGATTGGCACAAATTCAGACTCCATTGAAGTTTGAACTTATTGGCTAATGTTCTTCCACGTAGTTTTGGGTAATTTATAGTCATCTTAATCATCAACAAACCTCTACCAGCTAGTAACTGTCATCTTCTTTTTTTCTAAAATTATTGTGGTGATTTTTCCTTAGAATGTCCTTTGGGACACCTAGCCTTCAGGGACGCATGGTTCTCACTTCAGGATAGTCAGAATGATTGCATGTATTTTGAGAAAAATACAATTTAGCCACTAAAAACACACAGAGATGTTCACAAACACTTTGTAGCTCAGAAACTTGCTTCAAGCTGTAGTTGAAAGTTCAGCCAAAGGATTGGGCACTCAGCTCTACTTAGTAAGTATTTGTTGAATGGATGCATGTTGGAAAAGTGACTGAATATATGGGTGAACAAATACTGAATACACTCAGTGAGGTGCTGTGGAAGAACCCTTGCCTCACCCATCATATCTAGCAGGATGGCAGGCGATCTTGTCATAATACAGCTAGATGCAATGAGCTCCCCTGTCAAAGCTCAGCTCATAGGGCTGGAGAGATGGATCTTGTTCTTGCAGAGGACTCAGGTTTGGTTCCCAGCACTCACATCAGGCAACTCACAACCACTTGTAACTCCAGCTATAAGGCATTCAACTTTGGCACCTGCACTCATATGCACATTCACACACATAATTAAAAATAATTTAAAAAATCTCTTTTTTAATATTTTATTATTTTTATTTTATGTATAAGAATGTATTGCCTGCATGTATGTAAGTGCACCCATATTATACAATGCCTGTGGAGGTTAAAGGAGGGCATCAAAACCCCTGGAACTGGAGTTAAGGATAGTTGTTAGCTGCCATGTGGGTGCTGGGATTTGAACCTGGGTCCTCTGCAAGAGCAGTCAGTGTTCTTAACCGCTGAGCCATCTCTCTAGACCCTCAAAATAATAATAAATCTTTAAAGTACTGTTCACAAGAAAACATAGGAAGCCCCAACGGCAAGCATACTGTGATCTAAAACAACATCGGTGAATGGAACATAAGCTTCTGGGTCAAGGGAAAAATAATATCAGTCCTGCATTCAGGAGATGCCAAGGAAACTTGCCACAGGGTAGGACAGCTGAATTAAGAAGATCCAAATTTTTAAAAAGACTGCTGGGTGTGGTCATGCATACCTTTAACCCCAGCATTCTGGAGGCAGAGGCAGGCGGATCTCTTTGAATTCAAAGCCAGCCCAGTGTACATAGTTCCAGGCCAGCCAGAGCTATACAGTGGGACCTTGTCTCAAAAATAGATAAATAAATAAACAAAAATTTTCAAAGCTATGCAAGTAGAAGGGGACTAGGGCAATCAGCTTACTATGATCAAAATACAGTGCATACATGTATGAAAAGTCCCTGAAACCCATTGTTGTATGTAATTAATATTTGGTAATAAACAAAACTTTTTACACATCCAAATAATATGTGTAGGAAAGCAACCCCAATTTAGAAGTGAAAGATTCCTGTATAAGCTTAATAGAAGCTTACATTAGCATTAGCAAACACTGCAGAGGACCTGAATGGAAGCAACCCAGTTAAGCACCAGATTTTTTTTACCCAGAGAACTTCAGCAGCTGGAATGATGATGAACCAATTGCTACACAAATGAAGTTTTAAAAGAAGAAGAGAAAATAAAGACCTGACCCATGAAGAACTGTTGAACTTTGTTAAAACTCAGTGTCCCGTTTCTCCTGTAGGAGTAGCGGAATAGCAACCCCAGTTCTGTGGAGATTTGCCTAGAAGGAATTCGTAGAAGCAGTCTTCAAACTAAGAGTAGAAAAAGAAATATAGGGGCTGGAGAGATGCCTCAGCGGTTAAGAGCACTGGCTGCTCTTGTAGAGGACCTGGGTTTGGTTCCCAGCACCCACATGGCAGCTAACAACCATCCTTAACTCCAGTTCCAGGGGATCCAACACCTTCTTCTGACCTCTGCAGGCATTGCACAACATGGTGCACTTATATACATGAAAGCAATACACTCAAACACATAAAATAATAAATAAAATATTTAAAAAGAAAAAACTAAGCAAGAAAATCCTCCACCAAAAAGGAACTTTGATAGTACGAATGTTTCTGTGACCTGGAATTCACATTTATATGTGTAGACTTGTGCATGGGAGGAATTCTGGGAAACATGTTTGTCCTAGCCGAATTACATATCACAAAGCCTTTACACTAAAAAAAATGCTGCTTTGTGATCATTGATGCTGATGCTGTTAGTATCGCCTTCCTCTTCTTCCTCAGTAAAGTGAGAAGGTTCTTTGGTCAGAGCAAAATGTTTGGGGATAAGGCATGGCAGGAAGATGAGATCAGGAGGCTCAGTGGGTGCAGGTCATGGAGAACTTTGCAGACCACTTACAGTAGTTTCAGTCTGTTTGTGAGAAATGTTGAACTGAAGTTCCCCCATCCTTGTAACATCTTTATCTGGTTTTGGTATTTGAATAATGAGTTAGGAGCAGTTCAAGGTAGCACACACCATTGATCCCAGCTCTGGGGAGGCAGAGGCAGAGGCAGGTGGAGCTCTGTGAGATTGAGGGCAGCTTGGGCTATGTAGCAAGTTTCAGGCCAACCGTGCTACAGTAATCAAATTTGTGGGCATAGAGGTGTTTATATATCCCTTTATTGTCCTTTAATATCCATAGGATCAATAGACATAGCGCCTGTTTCACTTCTGGTATCAGTAATTTCTATATTCTGTACTTGGTTAGCATAGCCAGGTAAAAATTTATCAGACTCCAGTTCAGGGAAATCTGACTCCCTCTTCTGATCTCCATAGGCATTGCACAATATGGGTACACTTCTATAAATGCAGACAGTACACTCACATACATAAAATAAAAATTATAAAACTGGGCATGGTGGCACACGCCTTTAGTCCCAGCACTCAGGAGGCAGAGGCAGGCAGAGCTCTTGTGAGTTCAGGGCCAGCCTGGTCTACAAAGCGAGTTCCAGGCCAGCTGGGGCTGCAGGGAGACCTGTCTCAAAAAGACTCCCCCCAAAATAAATAAATAAAAATAATAAAACATTTCTTAAAACTAAGTTGAGAGTGAAGCAGTTGATGTGTGGGGAAGCAGAGAGGCAAATATTAGGCAGAGGAAGAAGGGACCGGTCGGGTGAGAGGGAGAGCATTAATGTGGAAGACTTGTTTGAGGAAGTGAGAAAGTTCACTGACTACAAGAAAATGTTTGAGGTTGGGGAGTGGCCAGAGAATGAGTCTAGACAGACAGGAGGCCTAGTCCATGCAGAGCTCATCAAGCCACACTGAACACCTTGGACTTTACCATAAAAGAAATCAAGAACCACTGAAGGATTTTAAGAAAGAGATTGTGGACCTTGGAGTGCAGCTCAGTGGTAGACCAGTTGCCTAGTATGCAGCAGGTGCAAACTTTAACACCAGGAAAAAACGGGGTAGGGAGTCGCATGATTCATTGGTGACTTAAGGAGAACTCTGACCACTATGTAAAAAGATGAATTGGTAGAAAAGCCCAGGCTATGAGAAAAATGTGGTATCTTGTCAATCATAATATTTACTAATCTTTTGTCACTGAACCTATATAGTATTCAAAGTATTTATTATATGGAATAGTTACTATCATATTCATGAGTTGCTTTATTTTTAATATTTATTTTACTATTTAATATATTTAATTTATGTGCATGTGTACCTGTGGAGATCAAAAGAGGGTATCACATGCCCTGGAGCTGGAGTTATAGGTGGTTGTGAGCTGCCTGATATGGGTACTAGGAACTGAACTCAGTCCTCTGGAAGAACAGCAGGCATTCTTAATTGTTGAACCATTTCTCCAGCCCTGTTCCCTTCCTCTTTCAATTCTGACTCTATTTTTCAACCTCAGTTTTCAACCCTCAGATTGTACTGTAGAGAACTCAGGTCTTTTTCGTTCCAGCATACTTCCCTTTCAGTTCCAAGGCTAATCTCTTAAAAGTTGATAATGGAACTGTCACCAGGAATCTCATTCTGGTCTGCGCTTGGCTCCCCCAGTTCTTGTGATCTATATCAAAAGAATTCAGACAATTAGCCAGGTGTGTACCAATCCCAGCACTTGGGAGGCAGAGGCAGGCAGATCATAGAGAGTTCCAGGCCAGCTGGGGCTACAGGGAGACCCTGTCTCAAAAAGATCAAAAAATAAAAAAATAAAAAAACTCAGACAAGACACACAGAGCTCAGACAAGACACACAGAGTGTAACATAGATAATTTATTACAAAGCAAAGGACACACACTTAAGAGCACAATAACCAGAGGAGCCATTGTATGTCAGTAAGGATTCTAGAACAAGCAGCTTTTCCTGTCCAGGTGATTGACAGGCCTATCAGATGAACTCTTACAGGAGGAGGCAATGATGGAGGCAATGGTACACTCTTGTTCTTCATCAGAAAACCTCCTGCTGTCCAGTAGTATTGTAAGATTCAGGATGCCTGGAACCAGGGTTAGGTAGTTATGTATTAATGAGATGCTCTGTGCAGTTCAGGATGTCATGTCTCCTCCCAGAGCCAGAATCAGGACTCAGGTCCCATTCCTCTGATCAGTAATTTTCCTGCTGTTACAGTTTATGGTTTTAGAAGCTGATGATTATGAAGGAGGGGGTCTTCCAAGCCTGCTAATATCTAGACACCTAACAGAAGCCTAAAGAAGAAAGAGATGGTAATAGCAGGGCTTCCCTGGGTGCATTCAGTGAATTAGATAAAACAGAAGTGGTAATGGGTTAGGTGATTGGTAGAGGGTAAGCTACAACAACCCTTGGAGTGCCTGCACTTGGCACCCAAGGAACATAGGAAGAACTAGAGGTACAGAGCCATGAGCTTGGTCTCAAACATGTCTTCCCTACAGTAACCTACAGGTGGCTCCGAATACTGAAGTTAGAGAAAGCAAAGCTGTCTGACCAGTGTTAGCATTTTACTGCCCTGTCATGTAGGTGAGGATTTTGCCAACCAGTACTATATCATCCTTGCCATCACCATCTTCAAGAAGAATCTCCTAAATGCAGAGACTCTTAGTCTGAAATCCTCTGAGTTTCCAGGAACTGTAGTCTAATGACTGTCTGAAGAGAGAGGTGCTGATGGTGATCTTTGGAAAGGGAAAGGTGAATCCCCCATCAGTGCAACACACTTGTGAGTCAGCTGTAACAGAATTGGCATGTGTGTTAATGTCAGTGTGTTTCACACTAACAACCCTACACTGGGCCAGAAGATTGAAGGCTCAACTTGGAAAGCAATGTGGATTCCGGGTTAGAGGCTTACCTCAGCCTTTTCCTGGGTATTCTCTCTGCTGGGTCTTCCTCGTCTCTGACATAAGGAAAACAATTTCTTCCTCATAGGTTTGTTTTGATGATAAGAGAGAATTAAGGGAAAGCTTCTATCACAAAGGAGGTTCCCAGTGCTGGACCCTTTATCTTAGGGACATGTGTCTCTACTTCACTTTGCTGAGCCAAAGAAAACCCCTTGCTCGCACAAAGACTACAGGTCTGAGTTTCATTTGTGTAAGGTGGTAATACACACGTGATTTAATGTGCATTAATTGCCCTCAGGACGCTCCTAAGTCAGGATGTAAATGAGCTCCAAAGGCAAGTGAGAGCCTTCCAGGATAAGGAGAGTCAGTGGGAAGTGACCAGTTCCCAACAGCAGGAGGCTCTACTTAAACAACTGGAGAACGAGAGAAGGAAATGTGAGGAGGTAAGAAAGCAAACAGATGCTCCCCTGTTTTTCCTGTTCTCACAGACCTGAACTCTTGGTCATTGTTACTGTTATTATTTAGCTAATTATCTTTAGGTGCACTTCACCCACTAAGTTTAATCAGGAAAGCAGAACCTGTTCTGGGTATATCAAGTGCAGGAGAGGGAAACATGGCTTCCCTATATCCTTTTGGCTAGGCTGTAAATTAAACTGACTTAGGACAAATTTATAGGGATGAACACATTTTAATTACGTGTGTATGCATGGATGTCCCACAAAACATAAGGCTTAAAACGGACCAGATTCTCAATGTCTGTACAGCACCTTGAACTTTGCAGAAAGGGCCTTGGAGCCTCTGGCACATGGTGGAGACAAACTACAGGAGGGTGTGGGCAACTCTTGTAGGGTAAGGAAAGGTTGTCTTGCATGCAGGTAAGTCTCTCCAGTAATACAAGTTGTCTAGAAATGGCTCAGTGGGTGCTTGATTCCCCAGAATACATGTAAAGGCCAGGCACACAGCATGAGCATCCATCTCCCAGTGCTCCTCTGGGCAGGTAGGAGGTGGACACAAGAGGATCGTGAAGCTCATGGGCCAGCTTTGTGTTGCAGCCTGGGGCATGCAACAGAAGAGTGACAGAAAGACCTGTTTCAAACAAGGTGTAAAGGACTGACACCTGAGGTTGTCTTCTGGCCTCTACACACATACTATGGTACATCCACATTCCCACACATGAATGTATGTACACAAGCATACTCACACATCATACACACAAAAATAAATAGATAAATAATATGAAATTTTTTTTTGGTGTTTTTGAGACAGGGTCTCCCTGTAGCCCCAGCTGTCCTGGAACTCACTATGTAGACCAGGCTGGCCTTGAACTCACAGAGATCCGGCTGCCTCTGCCTCCCAAGTGCTGGAATTAAAGGCGTGCAACACCATGCCTGGCCAGGTATACAACTTTTAACTCAGTATGTCACTACCCACCAGGACAAAGTAACAGATCCCACAGGGTAAGGGCTCAGGCCTATGAGACTGCCCATTTCTCAGACCAAGTGCCAGCTGTGTTGCTGCACATCAGCTATAAATCTAAGACTCCCTCAACCCGTCATCAGGTTTGATCATGTTTTAAAATGACTCGGGTGGGGCTGGAGAGATGGCTTAACAGTTAAGAACACATAAATAATGCTCTTACGTGTAATACTTTTGCAGAGAACCTGAATTGGGTTCCCAGCACCCATGTCAAGGTGACTCACAGCTGCCTGTCGCTCTAGCTCTTAGGGGATCTAAAACCTCTGGTCTCAGCTGACACCTCCACTCATGTACACATACTCACATACAGACAGACACAGACATACACACACACACACACACACACACATGCAGACACACATATGCATAAAAAAAATAATCTTTCTAAGAAGAACAGCTCAAGGAAAGTTTATTTACTTGGCTACTGGTTTATTAGATGAGGCCACAACTTAGTAATGGCCAGATGGAAGAGATGCCCAGGAATGCAGGAAGGGACATGGAGCACATGCATCATCCTGTCTGGGGTTCAGCCCTCCCTGTACCTCTACATGTTTACAATCTACAAGCTCTGAATCCAACCTCGGGGAGTTTTATGGAAGCTTCTGGTTCAGGATTCTATACAAAAAGAGCTTAGAACTCATTTCTACTCCATCCTAGCCACGAATAAAAAGCTGAATGAGCTGAAATCTTTTTTTTTTTCATCTTTTTGAGACAGGGTCTCCCTGTAGCCCCAGATGACCTGGAACTCGCTATGTAGACCAGGCTGGCCTCGAACGCACAGAGATCCGTCTGCCTCTGCCTCCCGAGTGCTGGGATTAAAGGCGTGCATCTCCATGCCTGGCCCACAAGCTGAAATCTTTAACTGATTTTGCTCAATCAGAGATATGAGGTCACAGGATCACTGCTGCCCCTGACATTAGATAAACCAAAAGAGAATCACAATGCCAGAGAGAAACTTCCATGAAAACCAGTAACCAGACAGGCACTGCACACGCACACACACACACACACAGACACGGACAGACAGACAGACAGACAGACAGACACACACACACACACACACACAGTGCACATACACACATGCAGACAAACCTCACTGAACATAAAATGAAATCTTTTTTAAAAAGATAAATGCCAGGCCTGGAGAAATGGCTCAATGGTTAAGAACACTGGTTGTTCATGCAGAAGACCGGGGTTCGAATCCCAGCACCCACATGGCAGCTAACAGCGGTCCGTAACTCCAGTCCCAGGGGATCTGACAGCCTCTTGACCTCTGAGGGCATTGTATAACATGGGTACACTTACCTACATGTAGGCAATACATGAATATACATAAAATAATAAATAAAAAAACAAATAAAAAGATAAATGCCTTTAGTCTCAGCACTTGGGAGGCAGAGGCAGGCGGATCTCTGAGATCAAGGCCAGTCTGGTTTATCTAGTGAGTGCCAGGTCAACTGAGGCTACAGGGAGACCCTGTCTCAAAACAAAACAAAAAGATAAATGACAGAAAAACTACATCTAGGTTCATAATGTTCAAATTAAAATTGAAAGAGAAAGGAAAAATCCTGAAAGAAAGACAGAAAAGTAAAATACTTTCTGAGACAAACAAAACTTGGGGGAAATTGTCACCAGTATTCCTACTTTGCAAGCAATTTTAAGAGATGTTCTTTAGACAAGGAAAAAACCTACATGGATCCATGTAAAGAAAGCAAGATGGCTCAGCAGGTGAAGGCGTTTGCCACCAAGCTGCCGACTCCTGTAAGACGTCCTCTGCCCTCCACATGCAGCCTTGGACATGCGCACACACACACTTTTTCCTTCTTTTTTTTTTTGTCTCTTTTGAGACAGGGTCTCCCTGTAGCCCCAGCTGTCCTGGAACTCACTATGTCGACCAGGCTGGCCTTGAACTCACAGAGATCCATCTGCCTCTGCCTCCCAAGTGCTGGGATTAAAGGCATGCGCCACCACGTCCAGCCTATTTCTTTATTTTATATGTATGTGTGTGTCTGTATGTGTACCATGTGCATGCAGTGCCCAGAGTTCAGAAGAGGGCGACGGATTTCCTGGAAGCGGAGTTACAAGCTGTTGTGAGCCACCCTGTTTGGGGGCAGGAAACTGAACTTGGGTCCCCTGAAGGAGAAGCAAGTACTCTTGACCCTTGAGTCATCTCTCTAGCCCCTAAATAAATAAAATTTTTTAATATTTATTTTTTGATACCAGGTCTCCCTGAAACCCCAGCTGACTGGAACTCGCTGTGTAGAACAGGCCGGCTTTGATCTCACAGAGATCCACCTGCTTCTTCCTCTAGAGTGCTGGGGTTGAAGGCCTGTGCCACAGTATCCAGCAGATGACTATTTTGAAAGGAAAGGAAGAGGGGGCCGGACAGATGGTTCAGTGGTTAGGAGCAGCTGCTGCTTTTACAGAGGACCAGAGTTCTGTTCCCAGCACCCACATGGCAGCTAACAATCATTTGTAACTCCGTTTTCAGGGGATACAATGCCCTCTTCTGGCCTCCGTGGCCACTGCATGTACATGGTGCACTTACAGGCAAAACACTCATACACATGAAATAAAAATAAATAAAATCTTTAAAAAAGAAGAGCATTGGGAAAAAACTAAGTGAAGATAAGATAAAATTTTTTAAAATTTAAATCGATCTAGCATAATTTGTTCAAAATAATAATTGCAGGGAACTGGAGAAATGGCTCAGCAGCTAAAAGCACTTGCTGTTTTTGCAGAGGACCCAGGTTTGGTACCCAGGACCCATGTTGGGCAGCTCACAGCTGCCTGCAACTCCAGCTCCAGAGGATCCAGCATTGTCTTTTGGCCTCTGCAACCCCCTGAATATCCATGGCATGCATTCTTATTTATTTTACGTATATGAGTATTTTATCTGCACATATGTACCCATCTCTCCAGCCCCTATTTTACAGATTCTTTAGTGAGGTGTTTCTAAGCTACATTACATTTATGCCTTAGTAAAGCAGCAGCCTGACTCTTAGCATCCATTTTACAGCCAACAGCAGATTTCCCAGAACCGTGCTCCTCAGCAAGAGTTTTGTTCTTTCTTTATTGAAACAGTATCTGCAGCATGAAACAGGCAAGTAGAAGTCTGGACCCCTTTCAGATTATTTTGCCCTTTGTCCCCTAGGCCTAGAATGTCACAGGTTCAGATTCTGTCATTGTTTGCAAAGAGAAAAACACTCTGCTCTCGACTCTTCGGTATGTACAGCTTGCATACACCACCCTTCACTATCTTAGATGAGCACAAGAAGTAGTCTTTAGGGATCAAGGTCATATACCCAGGTCACAAGAGGAGCACATGGCTCAGTGAGCTTGTTTACATTATAAATAGTAACTTTTTGGTTGCATGTAAGTAAAACTCTTTAGTCCAGATTATGTCCATATTGTAAAAGTCATTCCTACACTTACGTGTGCTTATGTGTATGGGGAATGGATGACCGCAATGATGTAATATAAATTACAATTATTTTGCTGGCTGGGCATGGTGGTGCATGCTTTTGATCCCACCACCCAGGAGGCAGAGGCAGGTAGATCCCTGTGAGCTTGAAGCCAGCCTGAACTACATAAGGAGTTCCAGGCCAGCTGAGGCTTCAGGGAGACCCTGTCTCAAAACAAACAAACAAAAACAACAAAACAAGGTAGACATGACTGAGAAATGGTACCCAAGGTTGTCGGTCCCTGGGCCTTCATGTGCATGCACACATAAATGCACCCCATCTCACATACAGGAATACACATACACTCAAAAAAGGGAGGGAGAAGAAAGAGAGAGAAATTGGGTTGGTTGCAAATGTACTGTACAAAGTAGAAAGATGTACAACTGATAAGTTAGAACAAAAGGAAAATGAAGACATATAAAATGCTCAGTTAAAACCACAAAAGGTGGGGCTGGGCACTTGGAGGCAGAGGCAGGCAGATCTCTGTGAATTCAAGGTCAACC